GAAAACATAATGAGTAGGCTACTGGACATTAATTTGGGTTTCTGTAAAGAAAGAAAATACGACGGGGTTTAGCAGAATTATGGATTACAGGTGGGAAAATCAGATCATCAGAGAATATTGGAGCTTATATGGTCCTTAGCATTCTCTTCATCAGCCCAAATCCTACATGTTGTAGATGCAAAAACTACAGTGGGCATTTTAGCTGTGCCTGTTCAGCATTTTTTTCCCCTCTCTTCCCTAGTCAATCTTAAAAGAGGAATTCATTTCCAACAAAGAGTGTCACAGGTTGCAGCTTTATTGGCATCATTCTTGATAGGACTTTGAAGGTGACTCCTCTGGAGCGTCTTACTTTATGTCATGTTAGGACAGGGCAAGTTATTTGTCTGAATTGAAAGAATACTCCTTGTTTATTATTTTTATAAAGTAAAGCATATTTGGATTGCTTTTTTTCTTTTTGTTTGTTCTGATTTGTTTTGCTTTGGCCCAGGTTAGGGTGGAACAGAGAATGGGACTACAAATTATAAGACACAATTATGCACTGAAAGACATACAAATTTAAATGTACCTCTGGGTTTGAATTAGCCTGGGTAAGGTCTAAACCACACTCTTCCTTTTTTCTGTAGACCAACTTAAGAAATAAAGCACAAAACAATCTCTGGTTTGAGATCTATCCTTCTATTCTATCTTATACTCTGATCTATAAGAATTGATAATTTGGTGCAACGGCAAATTTTGGCAACATGTTCTGCCTTGAAAATAAATAAGATATTTCTGGTAAAAATAGATACAGAGATTAGTGGTGGATAAATATTAACTTTGGAGTCTGTGTTGCCTTCATGTGAGGGTTCTAGACGTTCCAAGACTTAATGAAAACTTACAAAAATTTTTAGAGATCAAAGAACTCATCGAATCTAGGAAAAATGTATGGATTAAAAAATATATATGTTACAATTCATATTATTATATATATTCATATTTTATATGACTATATGTATACACATAGACACATACATACTATATATATATATATATAAATTATTATCTTTAACTTAGAAGGGAAAAATGAATGACCAAGGCTGCACATTTTCAGAGGTTTATATGCTTTTCACTTCTGAAAGAGATAAGGACACTATTCTAAACCATGTCCACTGGAACAAACAGTCCAAACAGAAGGGTACTCAATAATTTCCCAATGGTCATACTAAGAACTGGGTATCTTTGTCAGTGAGAGAGAGAGAAAGAGAGAGCCTAGCCTAAGTTCAAATCTTGTCATTCGCTTTAGTTGGTTTGTGGCCTACTTCAGCTGTCTTATTTCACAGGGCCTCCATACCTTCAACTTAAAAAAGGAGGGTAACAGTGAAATGACACAGTTCCTAGTACAAAAGAAACTTTAAAAATCATGTCTAGCTCAGTCTGTAATCCCAGTACTTTGGGAGACCAAGGTAAGTGCATTGCCTGAGCTCACAGGTTCGAGACCAGCCTGGGCAACTTGGCGAGACCTCGTCTCTACAATAAAAATAAAAAGTTAACCAGGTGTGGTAGCATGCACCTGTAGTTCCAGCTACTTGGAAAGCTGAGGTGGAAGGATCACTGGAACCCAGTAAGTTGATTCTGGGGTAACCGTGAGTGTCCCACTGCACTCCAGTCTTGGCAACAAAGTGAGACTCCAACTCAAAAAAAAAAATCATGCCTAATTTTTAAAACTTTTTTTTACTTTAATTTTTACTTTATTTTAAAGATGTGGAGTATACTTCAGGATTAGGTACATAAATGGTCGTTTGTACAAGTGAAGTTGGGTTTCCCAAAAATCCTCACTTCACCTTGTTTGGGATCAGGTAAAAACAAAAGTGGAAACACCTTCATGTTGATAGTGTGAAAGACTTTCTCTGTTTCTGAAGAATTCCGCCTTTTCTGTGCCTTCAAGGGGAGTCCTGCATCAGTGACCATTATTTAATCTTGGGTCAGTAGTTATTAGTGAGTTCTAGCACTGGGAGAGGCAGTGGTCCTTAACAAAAAGGATCATGGGTTTGTGGAAAGAACTGGGCTTGAGCTCTGACTTCTCCATTAAATTTCCCTGAGTTGTGGTTTGTCATTTGTAAAATGGTAGGATGAATATATGGTTGTGTCCCCCCAAAATTCATATGTTGAAGCTTTAACCCAATGTGACGATGTTTGCATGTAGAGCCTTTGAGAAGTCATTAGAGTTAGATAAGTTCATGATGGTGGGGCTCCATGTTAAGATAAGTGCCCTGATAAGAAGAGGAAAAGAGCCTGACCAGTCTCTACCGCGTGAGGATGCAGCAAAAAGACAGTCATCTACAGGAAGTAGGCCATCACCAGTAACCAAATTGCCTGCCATGTTGATTTTGGACTTCCCACACTCCAGAGCCATGAGAAATTAATGTCTGTTGTTTAAGCCATTAGTCTATAGCATTCTGTTATAACAGCTCAAGCGAACACAAATAGAAATAAAGATATCAACCTATTTTAGAGTTTTTCAGTCACAATAAGACAATGCATATAAAATCTCTGTAAATTTTTAATCAATTTCAAGGACTATTGTTGGACCTAGAGAGATGAAAAGTGAATCAGATATGGATCTTGCCCTTAGAAAGTTCATAGTTCCCCAGATGAGGTAAGATGCCTAGATAACCATCTGCAGTGCAAAGTATAAAAGGCCACAGCCATTTATTCTTTATTCATTCACTCATTTATTTGTTTATTTATTTGTTATTATTTTTCTTGAGTTGGAGTCTCACTCTGTCACCCAGAATAGAGTTCAGTGGCATGCTCCTGACCACCGCAGACTCAACCTGCTGGGCTCTGGCGATCCTTCCGGCTCAACCTTCCAAGTAGCTGGAACTACAGGTGTGCACTACCACGCCCAACTAATTTTTTGATTTATCGTAGAGATGAGGTCTCGCCAAGTTGCCCAGGCGGGTCTCTAACCCACGGGCTCAGGCAATTCACTCGCCTCAGCTTCCCAAAGCGCGGGATTACAGGCTGAGTCACCAAACCCAGCTAATCCACTCACTTATTTAACAAATAATTTTTGAGCATTTACTATGTGTAGGTGCTATTCTAGATTTGGGGGAGATGGCTGTTAGGGTATGGGTAGGGTGAGGGTGACTGGATGGAGGGAGAGGGGCACAGTACTGACGGGAGCCAGTGTGCCAGAGGTGTACACTGACAAACCAGAGATCTGAGTAATGCAAAGAATTGCAACACACAAAGAGGTGAAAGAAGAAGAGATCTACTAAAGGAAAGTTTACTTCCCATAGACAGAAAGTAGGCCTATTCTCTAGGTGAGTGTGGCCCCATACCCTCCCCAACCTCCACCCAGCCCCAGCTTAAAGTCTTTCCCTTGGAGGTGTTGCAATCAGGTGGATGTGTCTGCTGTGATTTCCTTGTTGACCACCTGAGAATGTCTTGGAGACCCTGTGACACGGAGACCCATTAATGTTTGTCCATCTTATCATAGCTCCTAGAGAAGGGTGGGACAAGGATTCTGGTGCATCTGTACATTCCCAAATGACATTCCTTAGAACTAATGGAAGGCACTCTTCCCCTTATCTCCTATGCATTCCCATTGGGCAGCCCTGCAGTCTGCATAACTTTTGTAATCACAAGTTTTGTGATTTGCATAACTTTTGTCTAATGCGTGAAGTCTTAGGCCTTGTAAACTCCCTTTACAAAAGCCATGAGACAGCTCCTATGCTTGGCACCAGGAAGTCTGTTTCTGAAAAGACAAAGTCAGCAAGGTTAATCTTTATCTGAAGTATGCATTTCTCTAACACATAGCTTCGACTTTCTCATCATTGTGTCAGGGTTTAAGAACAAAATGAAAAATGGCTTCCCACTCTCAGTCTGTCCTTTTAACAGCAATAACCAAAAGAAATTCTCTGTTATTATATAGCTTATATTTGAGACTGATAAGCAGTCGATAAACAAGACATTAGGTAATATGACTGATGGTGGAAAGTGCTTTGAAGAAAAATAAAGTAAGGCAATGGATAAGAGTGATGAGAGGGACATGACTATTCTGTACAGTGTGATGAGAAAAGGTCTAGTCAAGTCTGCCCAATAGGGGACATTTAAGCAGATGTTACCATGAAGGGAGCATGAGCCTAGAGGTTTTGGGGAGAATAATATTCCAGCCAGAGAAAATAGCAAGTACAAAGGCCCAGAGGCAGGAGTGCTAATCCTAAAAAAAAGATTCTTCAAAGGGGCTCTGGGAATTCAGAGTTGAGATGACTTCCAGTTAAGGGTGATAATGATACAGGATTCCTGGGGCTAGTCCAAGGAAGTCAGGACTAGCTAGAGAAGGGGCTTGTAAAAAAGCACCACAAATTTACATAGTATTTCATACTTTGCACTTGTCTTTTGTTTAGATCATATTTCATACATTCCTATCTATAAGAACATATATTTAATTATTTTCCTACCCTCAGAGAAAAGCTATAAACCATTGCTTTTCAGTTTTCTATAAACATAATGAATGAACATTGTTTCTAGTCATCCTTTCCCACTTCAGATTATTAATATCAGCATTATCTTCAGAAACAAAGTAGATTGTGGTTAAGAACCTGCACTTGGAAATCAAGCCAATAGCAGCTGCTGTTCCAATTCAACTACTCTCTAGATGTTGACCTTGGGAATATTGCTTAGGCTTTACAGAACCACAGTTTCATTCATCTCTTTTTACCTCTTGCTTCTCATGGATGTGATATTGAAAAATGGCTCATTGGTGTTTATTCTTTTCCACCCTCTCTTTATTGAAATGTTCATAAACATCAAATTATAAAGCCAGAAGCCTGAAATCTAAAAGTCACATTATGCAAAATGTACCCTGAATAAGTGGAAGCGAAAGTATGAAGAGAAGTAACAAGAATAAATATTCACAAGTCTTTACTGCTTAAAAAGGGCTTTCGTAGATACTAATCTATTAACTGTTTGATAAACATGTAGCTTGAATATAATTTTTCTTCTCCATTCTATAGATAAAAAACATGACTCCGGTTGAATGACTTGGCTCCTAAGATCACGAAGCTTCTAAGTGGCAAGACCAGAATTTGCATTGAGGTCTTCTGAATCCAATTCCCTGGGGGTAATTATCGGTACAACTTGTGTTCCAGAAATCCTTGCAAGACTGGAAAAATTTCCAAGTGATTGACCAAATCGGTTCCATGATGGGTCTCCCTTCTATGTGTGAATGTTGCCTTCTCACAGAGGATCATTAAATAAAGTTACCTAAACCTCTTCACAAAGATTCAAAACGTCCTGGTGGTGTGATAGCTAAAGACGACAAGACTTCCTTCTGAACGATTTTACAGGGTCTAGAATTTTAATGGCTTCTATGGTAAGCGAGACCCATGAGCTGTGTGGGCCCATCTAATTACTTGCCTGGGAGCTTTACAAGAACAGGAACCACGTCTTACTCATCTTTGTGTCCGAAAGCCAGCTCAAAGTCTGGAACACAGGAAGCACCCAGGTGGGGTTTGAGGACCAGACTGACAGGCACTGCAATGGTTGACATCCTTAACATCATCAGTTAAGCTCCGCTTCTGCTGCAGTCATCAGATCAGATAACAGCTATTGTGAGAAAACATATTACCAGCTAACTTCATTTTTTCATTCTGAACCCAAGCCACTGACCTGGATGGCAAGATGACAGAGCCCTGCAACCTCTACATCTCCCATCAATTCTTCTTCCAGTTTATTTTCCCAGACAGCTTCTTTTGCAGAAGCCCAAGTCTGAGCCAGAGCTACAGGACTTGTTTGTCTCAATAGGGAAAATACTCTTAAAGCAAGGATGTAAGATCGCCTTCTACTTTGAGACCTTTGAATATTAGTGTTGATGTAAACCTTCCCCATGGAGAAGGGTGGCATGACCTACTCTGTGAGATAGCATCAGCACCAGCTTGGAAAGGAGCCATGCTGGGTTTCAATCTCTGCACTGTTACATAACAAGGGCTAAATGTATGAACCAGTGAACTGCCCTGATCCGCTTACACACATTCTAATTAACCCTCCATGAAGGATTCACATTATTATTCTTATTTTGCAGTGCGGCAGTTGAAGCACAGAGGGGAAGTGACTCTCCCTAGGTCACAGAGATTGAGTGGCGGATCTCAGATGAAATAAAGCAAGTGGACTTCTCATCTGCACTCCTAGCTGTGTGACGCTGGACAAGGGAATGTCCCTCTAAACACCTCCATTTTCTTGTCAGTAAAATGAATGGAGGAACAAGACACCATTGAATTGTTAGGAAAAGTAATTGAGATCATGTATGAAAGGCTCCTGACACTTAGTAGGCGCTTAAGCTATGTCAGCTCTCTCCCTTCCCTCACATAACCTGAAATTGAAGAGCATCTCCTCTTGTGCAATCCTTGAGAACTATAAAGCTGAAATTAATCCAAACCATACCAGAGCCAATGACAATAAAGCTGATTTGTTCAGACTTATTATTTTGTTTCAATAAAGACCTGTCTCCAGTTTCCTCAGCAGCCTCACCGAGCCAACTCAAACTGAAAACACACGCAGCGATTGCAAACTCGTTGGTGAAACACGATAGACACTTCAAGAACCAGGAAATTCCTTCTTAAAACGACTTGGTTCTTAGCCAAAGCAGATAGGGGTTAAACAATACTGTGGTGTAGCTGTGGCCTTCAAGGTGCACAGTGGGGCTTCACGCTCCTGGAGGAAATGGGAGCCCAGGGCTGTGCTTGCCAGCTGGCGCCAACATGCCTCGGACAAGATATGCATGGCCTGGCCTTCCAAGTCGAGAGCAATTGCTGGCAGTACACTGTGAGCATGTCAAGCTAAGAGAATATTTTTCTAAAGGCCCATCGCTGTTTTTCTTTCTGTAGATGGTAGCCACTGAAAAGTTATGCAAACACTTCAGCTGTGGAATATTTAATCTGACGTTTGGCATGGCTTCCTTGTTGATCCAAGACACGAAGTATGCAGTATATGTCTAGCAGTTGTTTCGTTGCTTACTCAAAAAAGATAAACAAGAATCAATTTAATTTTCCTTCCCCTTGTGTTTAACTGGGTCCTTGCATGAATGAATCCTTGATTATCAAGTAATAAGATGACAATTATGGACCACAAGGGCATGCAATGAATAGTTCATTTAACCAGGAAGGTAAAAAAGAAAAAATATATATATGCATGTATACATATACATGGATATATATGATTTTATATATCCAAGATATATATTTGTCCTGTGATTGTGGCTTTCTCAAGAGTTTGGCAGCTCTTCTCTTTGGGTCTGGTGTTTCAGGGTTTCATGTGCCTCATGGACGCATCACCAGAACTGTCCTCTCGTCACTTGCTTGTCATTGGTTTTTTTAGTAAGAGGAGCACAAGTATCTTGCAGGAGTCCTCCACCTGGTCACATCAGACATGCATCCTGGCTGCATCTGCTCTTTCTTTCTTTTTTTTTTTTTGAGTTGGAGTCTCACTCTGTCGCCCAGACTGGAGTGCAGTGGCTGTGCCCAGCCACCGCAGCCTCGACCTGCTGGGCTCCGGCGATCCTTCCGCCTCAGCCTTCCGAGTAGCCGGAATTATAGGCATGTGCTACCACGCCCGGCTGATTTTTTGATTTATTGTAGAGATGAGGTCTTGCCAAGTTGCCCAGGTGGGTCTCGAACCCGCGGGCTCAGGCAATCCACTCACCTCAGCCTCCCAAAGGCTGTATCTGCTCTTTCACTCCTTCAGGACAAGTCTGCCTTACTGACAGACTTATTTTCCTAAAAGTAAATCTCCTGTGGTTCTCGTTGACTACCCGTGGAGTGGTTTCTGACCCCAGACATGTAACGAGAACATTGCCACTTCTCAGAAAATGCAAGAATCCAAAAAGCTGAGTGAATGGGCGTTTCTCATTTCTCACCACGTGCAGGGAAGGATGCCGCACTGGTCGATATTCCAAGGGAAAGGGAGAGAGAACCTTTCCAAATGTTCTTCCACTGGAGACTTAGAACAGTTGCTTAACATAAACACAATCCCTCAAATCTCCATCCTTTCTGCAGATGGACCAATAATGCTAAAAAGTGCTACAAATCATAGTTTAGTGCAACCTATTCATTCTCCTCTGCTTCAGTGCTCATTGCAAAAACAACACTGATTCAAACATCAGGTTGCTGTCACTTGACTCCAGGTAATGGCATAATTCTGCTTCAAGAGAAATACTGAAACAGAGATCATTCTTTGAAAAGAAATGGGTGAGGGTGACAGGAGAAGAGAATCAAATGGAAATGTAAACAAAATCCTAAAACTGCTAAAGTAAACTAGAGACTGACACATTTGGACATTTCCTTAGATTTGATTCAAGTTTCTGGGTCCCGTCCCAAATAAAAATATATCTTTGTTTCTAATGAAAAATTCAAAGAGCGCAAACCTGAGCTTTAAAAGCGATGTCCAGTTTATTCTTTTATGGTTTCAGAACTTGAGGGATTCAATTCAGTGAGGAAGAAACTTCTCAACTTCAAAAAGTTTTAGTCAGCTGGGCTTGGTGGCTCAGCCTGTAATCCCAGCCCCAGCGCTTTGGGAGGCCGAGGCAAGTGGATTGCCTGAGCCCGCGGGTTCGAGACCCACCCGGACAACTTGGTGAGATCTCATCTCTACAATAAATCAGAAATTAGCCAGGTGTTGTGGCACGCACCTGTAGTTCTGGCTACTTGGAAGGCTAAGGCCGAAGGATCGCTGGAGCCCAGTAGGCAGCAGGTTGATGCTGGGGTGGCCGTGAGTGTGCCACTGCACTCCAGCCTGGGCGACAGAGTGAGACTGTAGCTCAACAACAGAAACAAAAACAAAAAACTTTAGTCAATAGACAAAAATGTTTCTGAGGGCAGGGAATTGATATACACCTAAGAATGGGCCTTTCTAGGAGGTATAACACAGATCTATCTATCATCTATTTTTCAAATAGAGATGATATATCACTCTGTCACCAGGCTGGAGTACAGTGGTACAATCATAGCTCACTACAACCTCGACCTCCCAGGTTCAAAGTATCCTCCTGACTTAGCCTCCTAACTACAGGTATGTGTAACCACACCTGGCTAATTTCCTTATTTTTGTGGAGATGAAGGGTCTAGCTGTGCCAGGCTAGTCTTTAACTCCGGGCCTCAAGGGATCCTTCCACCTCTGCCTCCCAAAGTGCCAAGATTACGGGCATGAGTCACTGCTCCCAGTCCAGAGTTATATGTGTTGATTATCAATTTGTAATAAAAATCCACGTATATATTAATAAAAGTTTTCCAAAGGTAGTAACAGGTGATTTTTACTTTATTCTTTATCATTGTTTCTCTCTTTTGCAGTTTTTGATAATGAATGTTTGTTTTGTATATAAATGAAAAAATGGGAGGCAAAAATGCATTCTTTCTTTAAGGATCTTGTGTGGGTCTTCACTGTGAGTGTGCTAGTAAGTCCTGAAAGGAGGTAATTCTGAGTATCCTCATTGTAATGAGACACTCCAGGTCAGGACCCCTCTATGGGGAGTTTCCAGAATCCCCTCTCACTTTCTCTGCCTTCTTCTTCCAAGCCTTGCCCATGTAAGAAGGTTTTAATATCATGCCCCTATAATGAATCAATTACAATTAAAATTAAGTAGTGAAAAAATGTGGTACATCTACACAATGGAATATTACGCAGCCATAAAGAAGGACAAACATATGAACTTTGCAGCAACTTGGATGGATTTAGAGTCTATCGTACTCAGTGATCTATCACAGAAACCAAGAACATAGTACCATGTGTTCTCGCTCATGAGCAGACCTTGAACAATTATCATAATACTATAAGAAAGGAATTGGCAGTAGTGGAAAACTGCCAAGGGAGCTGGGGGTGGGATTGGTAGTTGAGGGAAACGGCCAGGGGAGGGAAGGGCACACCTCATCCACAAGGGTACCTACATAATGAACATTTGTATACCTAACCCTGAATTGTACCCCGTATCTTTAAAATAAAAATTAAATAAAATAAGTAGTGGTAAACTAAACTCCAGAGCCAAGAACACGTCATAGAAATTACTTCCCAAAGTTTTTTCAAAGTCTTTTCAGTTGTCTAGTGTCTTCAAAGAAGAATGGCAGGGCATT